GAACATTGTACGACGTTTTATTTTTATTTTATTTTATTTATGTAAAATAAAACAACATAAAATGCGAACGTGGCCAGGGTGAGTTTCCGGATTATAGTTTATTATTGGCAAATTTAACCTCTGAAATAATAACCGACTAAGCCGGCTTAGCCGTATCAAAATTATCGACCTGGCTAAGCTTACAAGTTTTTAATCGACTAAAATCACCAAACCTTTACCCGTACCATTTTCCGGAAATTGGCGTACATGACTGTCGTGTTGGAATAGCAGATACTCTGATGTTATATACTTCGATAAGTTCCTATAAACAAATAATACTAATAAATATTTCCGGCTAAAAAAAAGTATTTCGACATGAACTTTATACTATAAATACCTTCCAAGTATTCATATCTATTCCCATGACAAGTTGTTTTTTGATCAAGCCCTCGGCATAATCATCGCCAGTTGGTGGCTCACAACATGCTATTTGGTTTCGAAAAAGGTTAATTTTTGTCGATAGCATGTAAAATAATAAACTATTTGTAAAAATACATGCTTAGAATAGGTTGACCACCATCATCATCAATGTTTACTTTAGCATCACGTACTAAAAACGATAAGTAAAACAAGTTTTCCACCGTTTGTCCAAAGGATTCAGGATTAACGATAAATTCGAAAAAATTAATAGGCGATTTTTCCGCCAATATATTCCAAATATTCCGAACGTTCTTTGTTGTTTCGTTCTCCTGCCTTTCAATATCCTTTTCTTCCAGCTAAAATTTTGTGATGAATATGCTTAAGCATGTACTTATACAAACGTCAAGACAAACTTGTAGACAAAATACGTAATCAAACAAGGAACGGAACCTACTTGTTTTGGCATTACCAAATCGTTTTTATTTTTTGACAAAGTTTGACGTACTCCTCTCACGCGTTCTTTTTGTTCAACAGACAATGGGCCAAGACTAATGTAAACACCTATTTTAGTTTATGTTAGAACAAAGAACGGAAAATGAAGAGTTCACGTACATAAATTCCATTGTTGGAACACGCAAAGTATGATGAGAGGCAAGTTCACCAACTGCACTCCAATTTAAATCAGGTTCATCGTTATCATCATCAACCTGTCTTCCTCCCATAAATGTAATCAACTTGGATATATAGGCATCTACATCAAATGCATTGTTATCCAATTTCATACGACGTGCCTTCTGAACTCCCAAATCGCTAGTTAAAACGAGAAGGCGCGAATCAAGAGTGGCTTCATGTGTATTTTTAACTTTACAAAAAAGGAAAGATCGGCTATGAGTTGGGCTCAAGAAAATTAAATCTTCGAAATTTAAAGAAAATACCTTTTTGAACCAATTCATTTGCCTTTGCTATATTATGTGCGAGGCCATCGGAATCTGATCTTAAGTAGTCCTGGCGTTTTTCTATAGACACGAAAAACTTTGTTAATTTTACCATAATCATAGTTTCCATAATTAATCAACCATTCTTATTGATTTGATTGATTCCCATTCTAAGGTAGACGTTTATTCAATTTCTCAGTAATATATTATTATTAATATATGACTATGAATTATGATTAGAGCAAATCTAACGAAACTTGGTGGTAATGTGGCATTTGGTATTATTCTTTTTTCGATCTTTATATTCTTCAATCTATTAAAATAACATTACTCACGAACAAGCTTAAAGTGCCGATATTACCTTCTGTCTCAGATATGAGATTCCGATATTCCCTGCGCAACCAGCGTTTTTCGTCTTTATCTTGGTCAGGATCATAAGTCTCATTATTAAGAATTTTATCGTATTTTGATGAGCTGGTAGGTTCATTATCTTCTACTTGTTTATCTAGATTTATATCCATCGCGTTTTCTTTATCAGAGTCATGAGGTATTTGACGTGTTCCAAAATGCGCCATCTCTTTATATTTTTTATTTGGAGGAAAAACAATACGCGTCAAATCGAGGGAAGTTTGAAAAATTGGTGAAATCAATGCGGTGATTTAATTGCAAACTTGTATTACAGTGTACACGGTGTTACGTCCGAACAATCCGAACTCAGGTCTTCTATTTATTATACTATAAAAAAAATTTTTTACACTTGAAAATTAGTCAAATTGTAGATCAATTCACGTTTTTATAATCAGATAACAATCAACAATTCGATTTCGATTTGCTAATTTTCGAGTCATTGTCAATAAACAATTCACCGTTATACAAAAAATTTTAATATAATGATACTGTAGTCTAATGTAATCGCGATAGAACATTTTTACTTAATACACCTGACCCCTGTTTCTTAGTCAATTTATTGAGATAGCACCCAGATATCAATAATTCCCGGTATAAATTATAAATATTTCAAAAATTATGTACATATAATTTATTTGTATACTATATATATAATATACAGGTTACCCTCGTTAATATCAACCTATTTGAATTAGGTTTAAATCATGTTGATAGTGATATTAATGAAAAATC